CATTCATCAGCTTTGTGCAAATTCACAAACAAACAAGTAGCTCTTGAAAGCATTAGTACAGATAGCTCCTAAATATCTCATTCTGCTCATTTTAAAAGATTGCCCACGACCCTTCTGAAAAAATGCTTAATGAAACATGCAATTTACTTGCAGAATGGAAGCTTTTTTAAGCGATCTAGAGGTACTGTAATTCTATCATAGCTTTCATTGCTACTGTTTCTGTTGAAATTACTTAGCCCATTTAGAAAATTGGGAACTATAGCATTTAGTTAATACAGAAAATGAGTGTCAATTGCTGGAAAAAGTGGCTTCAAATGGGGACCTGATCTTGTAGTGCTTTCTGAATTATAATTCACTATGTTATTCTTTCAGTTTAAGGAACAATACCTTAAAGACTTAATGTTCATTTATACAATCTGGAACTTTTCCTGGAAAGGACAGTACAATCTATGAGTGAAACTACCAAAGATCATCGGTCATCTAGATTGGCAAATGAAGGATTATGTTTCCTGTAATTTTACTGCAGCTTTTATTCATCAAAATGCAATCAAGATCAAAAAAGAAAGGCAAAGAGATATTGAATCAAATTAAAGATTTATTTTTCTGGTGAACAGTACCAACTCCCATCCCCCCCCCTTTTCTTTTCCTTCAAATACTGCAGTGCAAACAAAGAAAGAAAACAATCCTGTACAAAGACTTTCAAGACTAGCATTGAACAAAGCCATGAAAAGAAAAACACAGGGCAGGAAAATTCTCTACTTACTGGAAGTGGATAAAGTGATATAATTAACTATTATGCTTACAAATGTCTGTGATTTAATAAATTTTAAGCACCTGCTGATGTGAGGAGTGAAATCCATGACTTATTTTTCACTACAGAGAAAATAAGCATATATTCTCATTTGATGCAAAAGTCACTGGAAGTTTTTATGTAATTTCAAAAATCATATATTCTCACTTGTCATAGCATTCCCACTCTAGACTTAAAAAAAGACTATGAAAGGCAGTAAATACTCAGAATACAGATAAAGAAATATTAAAATAATCATTATAATTTCCACAAAATCAGAAACTGTAGTTTACATTTTGTCTACCTAAACTTTAGAGAAAATGTTTCCTTGAACAAGAGCTGTAAAGTATAATGCCAACTTACAAGCGCAGTAAGACTGACTCAGTCTCATTAAAACAGACATTTTTTAATTGGCTATTCTGAGAAAAAAAAAATACTATTTTGTATTATAAGCAAGTATTTAATTTAATCGGTAGTTCCATTTAACATAACCTTATCCTGAGAAACTCTCCCACTTGTTAGATCACCATATATGCAACTCAGCAGAACAACTGTCTTCCAGTAGAAAACTATTTGCACTTAGGAACTGTCAACATATATAATCTACCTCATTTGGCTATGATACAAACAGAGGGGATTCAAAAAGAACAAAGATAGTCTATTTTTCTTGTGCAGTTATAAGTTCTATACAAATCTGAGTTCTACATGTGAACTGCTCCCATCCTGCTTTCAAAATCAGACTTACCGGTACTGTTTTGGGAGTCTTTTATGATCCTGTAGCAAAGGCTATAACATAGGTGAGTTCCAAACAATTCTTTTCACTATAAATCTATCACTTATGACAGGACTGAATTAGCAAAGTCTAATTAATTAGCAAAGTTGGACAACACTTCTCCAAGAACTGCAGGTATTCTTAAATAGATATCTTGTTGTATTATCCATTAGAGACAACTGCTCAGATTCTACTGACCGACAAGCAGGCTGCGCATCTGACTTTCTGAACAGATTAAGGCTGAAGAATTTACTCTCCCTAAAAATCATTCTAAGTTACGAGTATTGGGGGAAAGGAATCTATTCGGTCTAAAAGTTGAAGGGATGAAGTAGGCAGAATTTACTCTCCCTAAAAATCATTCTGAGTATCGGGGGAAAGGAATCTATTCAGTCTAAAAGTTGAAGGGATGAAGTAGGTATCTGTCATCATGGATCCCCACTTCCTCAAGAACTACATCTTGGATACGCTTGGATACTTGGATACTCTGTAATTTTTATGTCTAGATTTATAGCTGGAGAATCTTGTCTATGAAAGGAGATCTGAAGAAGTCAAAGCAAGGAAGATCATTTGATTTTCAGAACCTCCTGACAAAACACAGCAAAAAATAAACAGTACAACAGTTCAAGTATAAGAACTGAATATCTTAGGTTGCTCTTTTTTTCTTCTCTCCTCAGCAAAACTGTGGCACAGCAGTAAGCCAAAACACTCTATGGAGTGATTAAAAGTTTCAACCTGGGCAAGCATTCTCACAATTTTCAGCTTGCCTTTAAGAGCAAGTTAGTTTTTTCTTCTCTATATAACACTCTTCAGCTGTGTGAGTGATACTACATTCTGCAAGAGAGGACACCAACCCTTTAAGCAGTCCCCTTACTAGCCACAGTGCTAAATAACTGAGCCATAACATCTGAATTCTCCAGATGAAATAAAGTAAGTTTTAGTCAGAGGGAAATAATTGGGCTGCCTAAACCCAGTGGCATTTAATACCCTACGGTGTTTCTGAGACCAGAGATTGGGATACAAGACAGGAACAACAAAATATCTCTGCTCTTCTCGCTGACAAACAGATGACCTCTGATGTGCCACTCAGCCTCCACAATCACAACAGTTACTATGGTTAAGCAGCTGAATCCTATCTTCAGTTTCACTAGTGCAGGACTTTCAAGCTTAAGCCTGTAAGTCACTCAATTTTAAGTGCAGGAAAAGACCCGGGGTTGCTAAATCATCGCCTGGTATCGGCTCTGATAGAAAAGTATGAGATGAACCGACAACCTGGGCAGTACTTGTAGGGCGACCTCAGCAACGTCAGCCTCAAGCTGCTGTCCTTGTTCCTACTGTTTGCTCTCTTTCGGAGACATATTCTATCTTCACACAATCAGTATATTGCAGCAACAATTAAATCACTAACCACTTTCCAGCTTACTCTGAACAGAACATCCAAGCATTTTTCCCATATTTATCCTTTTGGAAGAACAACTGAAGCACTTGTTGCTTCATTGGGTTCCCATACAGAACTTCCTTCCTCAGTTTCAAAGTCCAATTTCTCACCTCAGACACTACAAGCCCTTGCCTTTTTCACAAGGAAGGGTTAAACAATGTATTTAAAAAGTTGATTAATAGTGACTTGTAGTATTAGGTTAAGAGGTTCCAGACAGATGATGTAGCCTTGTAGCATCATGTCCCTGTCAAAAACAGAAGACATCATTTTATACTACCATGTAGCACCCTGCTATCGTTTCCTTCTTCAGCAGTATATTATGTGGGAAAATGGGTCTTGTAGTAAAAGCACCAGCAGCATGCTCTTCACACACTGAAGATGGACAGCAGCAAGGTGAGCTTGCCTTGAGCTTGTAACAAACAGAGCAAGGCCTGGAATGGAAAGGTAGCCTTCCCTTCAAGGCACTTAAATCACCAATTTGGTGATTTTTTGGTTGGTCACCAATCTGTGACCAACAATCAACCAGTTTTAATCCACTGTAAACAGAGGTTTCAGGATATAGATATATTCTGCAAGAGACGTACTAGGTCATGACAGTTTAAAAAAATAAAACCTAGCCCCAAAACCTTTTGATGTATTTCACATCAAAGCTAACAATGGTTCTTCTCACAGACTCCCACATAAGACTTTTGTACCTTATCCTGCATATAATTAAAACTAGTCTTAAGCAATCACTCAAACAAAACAAACAAACAAAAAAAGAAAAGTAGAGGAGGGGGGATTAAATATTCGACTTCTTTTTTTTAATGAAGAACCGAGGAAACTTTGAAGATGTTTTCCTAACACAGAAAGATAGATCATACAGAAAAAAAAAGATTTGTGTAGTGTTGATTCTATATTTTTTTCAGTAGATGTGGGTTTCAAGGATCTATATTGCCTTTGCAGCACTTAATGATACCATCTTAGGACTACAAAAGCAGCTTGCCTCAGTTCTGGTTTTAACGATTCCACCTGTGTGTGCACACACTCATTTGAAAAGAAACTTAGAGCTGCAAATCATTACCAAAAAATGCGCAAAGAAGCTACCCTTAGACTGCAAAAAGCACATGACCACTGCGAACTTTAAAACGCCTGATTTACTAACCAAGCAAAATGAGGACTTGGGTAAAGAAAAACACATTTTTGTTCAATGAATGGTACAAAACATGATAGTATTAAGAGGTATGACACAAGAAAGAATATACACCAGTCTTGCCAAGAGGTAGAGACACAAACAGCACCAATACAGGAAAGGATGTGGAAGCACAGAGACTTTTTGCAAAGAAACAAAATAGGACTAGGCAAAGAGGCTATTTATGTTAATAAAAATGAAAGAAATGGGAAGGTAGCCTAAATACAGGCACTGAGGAAAGCGAGCTGAGACGTGCACGTGCCAGGAGCTTCCTCTGTGAACCATGCACTTGGCTCACTGTGTTTGCAAAGACAAACCACTACCACAGTGTTAGTTTACAAAATCTTACTCATTTACAACTTTGAAGGAAAATCCAACAAATCAATCAGTTACCATCTTCAAAAAAATGCCTGTTTAAACAAAAACCTATGTGGTATTAAGGCCACGTAAGCAGCTTTTAACAGTAGACTGCAAATCAATCACTATCAAATTCTGATGTCCCCAAACAGGGTATTACAAACAGGATGATAATAAAAAAGGCATTTTGAAAGTTATTTCAATATTGTGATGTGCATGGGTTGTACAGGGTCCTCTCTGATTGATATCTGGTAGTATAGCTGAATCTATTTTAAGCTCAAAGTTGGAGTGGTGTCTGTTGCAACTTTTAGTAGTATGATAAAGAAACTAAAGCAAAATAGCAAAGTGTATGAAACCAAACTGGCAATTACTACCATACAGCCTTTACAGGTGGAGAAATTGCAATATGAGAACAAAACAATATATTTCTAACTTTAAACCACTGTTATTATTTTTCATTAAAAAAACAACTTACTCTTTTACTGAGGCAGATAACTGGCCACATACTACAACCTAAAGTGCAGCAGCAGCAAAGGCATCCACAAAGTAGCCATCGTACATTAACTGGAAGGTTCTTCTTAAGACAACCATTAACTCTACTGATGCTGGCTTTAAATTCTTCTGGTGCAACCTACGAGGGAAAAAAAAAAAAGTAGTACCATAGCAATGTGATTTATTCATTTTTTTAATGGACTATACCTAGAACACTTGCTTTTATAACAAGATCTTACTAAAATTTTAGCTTCTTATTCACAGATGCTCACCTTCCCAGTTAAAGATGAAGGAAATTCTGCTTCAAATTTGTTGCTCAGTCCAAATCTGCAAAAAATAAAATGAAGATACAAAAAATAAAGAAAAAATCATCTATATCACACACACAAAAAATACACAACACAAATTAAAAGCATCTCATAATACAGTCAGAGTTAATAAGAGAGCAACCATCAATTTCAAACAGAAGTATGATTTGCTAGGAGTAATCCCTAAGGTTATGCCAACAAATGAAAATGAAGGGAAAAACTATAATCGTACACAGATTTAAAACCATCCTGCTCAGTTTCTTTTTAAAGTTCTATTGAAACTGTTGACTCTTCCCCAAACTCTTCAAAATCCTTATAATCAATAATGGCAAGTGTGAAAACTGAAGAGAAATACTTGACAGGGGAGGCATAAGTTAACGCCACAGATTTTTTTTTCTTCCTGCTTCCTGGTGCACACATATCTTGAGAAGAAAAAAAAAAAAAAAAAAAAGAAATCAGAATAATGAAGAATGTAAAGCTATGAAGGAGTGTGAGATGATCTGGAATGACAGCCTACTCTGGGTTTCAGAAGATTTAAAAGATAACAGTTTTCCCTAAAGCTCAAAGCAAATCTGAATGTTTTCTGGCACCCCATATGGGAAAGAGCTTCTAATACACACCTGCAGTTCTACAAATCCATTGATAAAACACTGAGACTGACCTCTAATAAACTAAATACCGGACACTGTAAAGCTAAGTTTTGGTTAACAACCTCTGAATATAACTAAAGCAGTATTACCAGATACTACAAATAATATCACAAATCAGAAGTTGTTCAAGAGCATTCTGGCAACAAGAACAGTTACACAACTCAACCATGTGCAGAAAGGTTGAACTGAGGCTTGGTTGCTGAAGGTACCAAAGAAATAATTCTCTTGGACAATATGTGTATTAAATAGCTAGCTATTCTTCAGATGATTTTCCTCCTGCTGGACTGAAAGGATCTGCCAGTTGAAAACTTTGTCCAAGTGATCAGCTGGGCAGTCAAGAGCTGTACCACTAGTGAGGCACTCTGAAGGGATCTCATAAAACTGAGTGGGCAAAATGAGCTTCATGTGCACAGATCAGCTTCAATGCAACAAATAAAAGACACTGAATGTTGGGGAAGCTAATTTAACCGCGCTCACATGATGATGAACTACAACTCAGGAGAGAGATCATCACTGATGATTCTCCTAAAATATCAGCACAATAAACCAGAATTGGCAACAACATACTAGGAAGGTGATTAGCAACACTGAGAGCACCATTGCGCGTCTACAGAAAACTCTACTATACCCATATATTCGGTTCTGGCATCTGTGGAGGACTTTGTGGAGTTAGAGAAAACAGAGAAGAAAGACTGATAAGGGGATGAAGCAGCAGCCTTATAAGGCTAACAAGCTGATACAGGTTGAGAGGGAATACGAACAAAGCACAAAGATTCTGAAAAGCTGTGGATAAGGCGAATGTTAACTGTTAATCATCAAATCCCACAACGGAGGGCACTCACTAAAACTATTACAAGATTAATTTAAAACAGTTGCAAGAAAGTGTTGGATTTAGGAGGGACAAAAATACATTTCTTCCCCCATCTCCTGTTTTAAGATTATTGCTTTGCTTTAGTAGAATTTTACAAACGCATTAAGACAGACCTTTAACATGGAAGCTTTGACCAAAATGGTTATACTGAAGGTATAAGCAAATGACAGTAAATTTGTAGCAGAGGCATGTGGCAATGTTTAATACATCACAGAGCTGCTAAACTGGAACAGCAAAGGCAACTCTCCCAGATACCAACTTCATTCCAAGCTCTCCACATTACATTTCATTACCAAAAAGAAAAAAAAAAAAAAAAAGAAGGATGACTCCATCCACTAAAAGTCTTAGTCTTAGTAAGCAAAAGATGTGATCCCAACCTTACCACTCTTGACTGCATGATGTAATCTGAAAACTAAAAGATTAGAAATTCCACAAAATACTACTAAAGGTTCATTGTTCAGAAACAAGAGCTCTAGTAAAGAACAGCAAAAAGAAAGTCTTAAAATCAAACCTAAGACACCAACAGCACTTTGGAAGTGCATTTTCTCAGAGGGCTGTCCTCACCTAGCACTAGATTTCTGGTGCACAGTTCTCCATCTTCAGCAACATTCACACTTCTCTGCCTGCCCTATGCCTTTCCCACTTCGTATCACATGCTCAGCAGACCCATGCTCACCTCATGCACAACTACTTTCCTTAACCTTCCTGGAACCTGGAAAAGTGTTTCTTAAATATGTCTCTGCTTCAAAGCTTCATAAGAGTTTCTGTCCTTGTATATAGTGGAAAAAAAATGATGAGAGAATCTTTAATGTATAGAAGATTACAGTGTAGACTCAGCCAAACTGCAGTCCCTTCCCAGCCTGCAGCTTTGATCTTCCTAACACATCAACACACAAACAAACCTCTTCATCCAATCTAATGGGGTCTAAACCATTTTCCATTGCTCAGTTTTGCCCTTTAGGTCTGCATCTTCACAGCCCTTAGAAAACAAATATGCAGTCCACCTAACCTTAGCACTCTCCATCCACCTCCTAGTCCTGTTTTCACCCGTATGTCCTTGATACAAAGTAAGCTACAAGAGGCTTTACTTCACCCTTTACTTGGGTGAAGTTATATTTTGTGCAGTTCCCTCCTTCCTAAGACTTGCATTACGTTGCACACAACGCAATAAGCTGACAACAGCACAGAAGAGCATTTACTGGTGCATCATGACTGCTCTGCATTGCTCTGCTACTGCAAGAGACTCATAAATCCAACTTCACTGCCTAGCAGTCTGGTACGTGTAAGACACATCTCAATCAGTTAAAAAGAAAACACACACTGGAAAGCCCAGGAAAACACCCTCTGGAAATGTGGAAATGCAACCACACAACCTACTGCAATATCCTACTAGCAGTTTCAAACCAACCACGTTCGTCTCTTTCCACGAACATGTTTTTACAAGCACATCCAAAATACCTTGAATTTTCAATCCAGTTAAGTAATGTAACTAATGTTTTACAGTTTCTGAAGTTTTAAGATCTTGCTATTAAAAGAGACAGTCTCAGGCCACCAGCCACCACCTCAAATATTATTCCTGCTTACCAAGCTTTGAATCTGCTGGGGTGAAAACTGCTTACCTGAAAATTTGAACATGCCAAACAATCCTAAAACAGTGATTTGAAGAGTCTAATTTTCAGCACTAAAAATATAGCCCCTCATCCTGAAAAGAGAAAGTCTTCATACATTTTATTTAGTTAGTATTTACCTGTATTCCCTCGATTGCTTTTAAGTCCAAAGCTTAGAGAGGACTATCACACATTTTCCCTAGCTGTTGAATGCAATCAAGTAAGAGTAAACGCCTTTTCTGTAGTCATGGAAATGACACATTTCAAACTCAGCATTATGACTTCCGTGCAAGATCAGAAAGGATATGACTATGAAGAAGAAACTTTTGTTTAAATATATACACAGCTGAGGCAGTCAGCAACTCTTTAAACTGCAGAGTCAGGGAGAGATCTGGTATTGTTATTGGAGTTGATATTTGTCTTACTTTACTGTCAATAATTTTAAGACCCTGAAAATGCATACATGTTTTTATACCTAAAAAGAAAGAATAACTCTATCTATAGGACTTGGCCTGTTCCTTAAATTCATCAAATGAATGTTCTGAAAGTGAACTAAATTTAAGAATAATCTACTTGATCAATGGTAAAAACTCAGAAGCTTTACAAAGGTAAAAGTGGCCTGCACAAAAGAGTAGATGAAGATCAACTACATAAACTTAGAAGCACGTGTTCGTATTCCCTTCTTTGCCCAAAAGCTGAGTAACTAATATTTATGAAGATCTTACAGCAATAATGACCAAGTGAAGATTAGTGAACAATTAATGAAGCAACTACAACTTCCTTACTAGTCACAGATAGGCTATGCAAGCTTCCTCATGCTCCCACTAATGGGCCTTGCCCTTGCCTCGCATTATCTTACCTTCAGGGACTGCAGGAGAAACCAGCATTTGTCTCCACTTCGGTTCTTTACACTCAGACGATTGCCATTGAGACAACTCTCTGATTAGGGCTTCGATCTGCTTAGCAGAAACTGACTGAGGCTGCGGGCTTACTTGCCAAGAAGTTAAACAGCTATTGGATGGTAGTAGCTTCAGATCCCAGTAAACCAGTAAACAAAATCGCATGTTTGAGAGTTCAGCTGCACGTTGCTGTTACTTTACTGAGTCTCCCTTCCACTCATCATCCCTCCAGCCCTTCAAGGCTCCCTCAGCATCATACTGTGTCTTATTCCCTTTTTTTAACCAAGTAACAAACTATCCTGTTTGGTAGTTAGTCCAATCAATACTATACTAGAATTCTTTAAAAAGAGCTCCCCTCCTACTCTGAATTTAACACTAGATTCCTGAACAGAGCAGCATCCCACAGCCAGCACAGTTCACAGGAACAGAAGTGCACAATTGGTTATCTTCAGCTCCCAGGTGCCCATCACGAGCCGGGTCCTGCTCTGCAGTGAGCGCAGGAAGGAAGTTTGCATCACTGCTTTGTGTCCTCGGGCTGGTATTTTACCCTCTGAAACTGCTCATCATAACTGACAACTGTGACACGTCAGTACAGAGACCCCAGTGGAATGGGCTGCCGGAAAAACACCTGGGCTTATCAGGTTCTTGAGAAAGGTGACGTTATCTCGCCTGTCCCTTGCTGCCACATCCTTGGGGACACAAAACACTCCCTAAACGAAACCCAGAGCACCTTCTCCATTAAGCACACTGCTGCAATGTGTATCTTAACGTGATTTTAGATGCACCCACTCAACTCACAAACACTCCCTGTTTTAAAAGGGTCCTCAGAGGGTCCCTGCCTATGAGCTGCCACGTGCCAAATGGGATGGGTCAAATGAGTTGGAAAGGGCCCTAAGCGACAACCCGGGTGGCTACACAGACACAGACCTCTTATGCAGACATACATACGGTCACGTATGTAAACCCACGCGTGCACGGCGGTCCCACGCAGCTGCTTCCGGACACCTCACCGTTTCCACGCGAATATCCCGCGTTCCTGCCTTAGTCACGGCTCGGGACGGCGCCGCTTCCTCCCGGGACGCGGCGGGGTCGGGCAGGGCGCAGGGGGGCCCGCGAGGCTCCAAGAGGCCCCGGCCTGACCCGACGCGCTGCGCTCC